GCGAATTTAGAATAGCGATTAGTGATTAGTGACTGAGAAAATAGCTGCTTTAAAAAAATTCGAAATTTAAGTTTTTCTAAGCTTATAGCGGCAGGTAGTGTTGACACGTTGATTACCATACGATATTATCTCTGACGTTACTTAACGAATTTTGCAATCACATTTTTTCATTTTTTCAAGCCGAATTATTTAACAATTTTTCTAATATCTTAATTCTATCTGGAAAATCAGCGTGTTAATGACACAACGTGTGTCTCGACGATAGTAATCCGCGAGTTCACTTAACGTAGCTTAAGATTTAGATTGTTAATCGGAAAAAAAGGATGAGATGATGTTCTATGTTGTCGAGTCTTATTTGTTATTTATTAAATAAGCTTCAATGGTAGATAAAAAAATGTAAAAATGTAATGGAAACGACGAGAGGATGCCGAGTGTAATGTAATAATCTCGGAAAAATAATTTCCACCAAAATGCATGTACACAAACAGTCCTTCTCGATTTAACACGCAAGTTATATTTGTAATCAGCAAGTTTAGGTGCGTAAGCGACACATTTGAGTCATTTTTATCATATTTTTGAAGTATATTGTTGGTTAATTATTTTTTGGGAAAAAGAATCCAAAATGGATATATGAAAGAATATAATATAGAAGATTGTTATCATTTCAAGCATAAAAGACACTTGTTTTATGAAGTTAAGATTTTTTAGCATCTTTTGAATATTTTTTTTATTCCTATTTATTTTAATTAAAACTTACGAAGGGCAACTAAGAATTTAGATTATGAAATAAATATTTTTGCTGTTAAATTAATGTGTATATCTAGCATGTAATGCATATTTTATTTTTTATTCCTAAAATCGCGAATTGACATTCTTTTTCTCTCGATTTTGAACTGAAGATTATATTCACAAAAATCGAACAATATAATTTGTATATAAGTTTTTGACTTGAATGTGTCGCACGATGCACATTGTTATGATGAATACGTTCATCTTCAATGCTATTTTATACACGAAAGTAATTTCGCGTTGATGGTCATGGCAAAAATGCGATCCTCGATCCTCGTCATGTTCAATCGTTTTTAAATTGCGAGCGAAAATTAGAGAGAGAATGTATATGCGCATGTGTGTGAGAGAAAGAGAGAGTATGTGAGAATGAAAGGGAGGCTACTAAATGTCGCTCGACGATGTTACCGCTGGTAAAATCGAATGTCCGATTTTCTCGAAAGCAACAATTATTTATATATACATATAAATAATACATATAAATATATATATAAATAATGAAAACGAGTATATATATATACTCGTTGACGAACTTGTAACTACACGTATAATTACACGTTAGAGAACGATTCTATTACCTTGTAAGAATTACTTATGCTAGGACCTCTGTACAAACTATAACAAATCCGCAAAAGGAAGAAAAACATTACTGTGTATAAGAACAGAATATTTATAAGAAACTAAAAGAAAAAATATCTTTCACTACTTTCAGCACTACTTTCAACATAATCATTGTAATAGCCACTCTATTTAATAAGGATCGTTAAAAAAAAAAAAAAAGAAGAGAGAAGAAATGAAACAACGGATTTCATTATCACAGCTCGAGCTTCGTGCGAATTTTCCCGCTTCCCCGCCCATTATATAACGAACTGACTTCATGGAAGATATTTATACGATCGTAAGAATATCCTGTAAACGCTATTGAAATGACCGCGTCAGAAAATTATTTTTCTCAATGTTAATTCTTGTGGATGACAAAGTGTTACTTTCTGTATACTCGCTGGGCAAGAGCCGATTTCAACGCGCGCGTGTGCATGCGCGTCATTTATCGATTTTGATCGTGCACTCAATTATCCGCCTGTCGAGATATAATCGAAGCGAGCAAAAGACAATGATGTTAATGATCGCTCGCAATAAACGAATTGTCGAACATATTCCATGCATCCCTTGGACAAAACACGAGGTGTAAAAATAAAAAATAAAAAAAATAAGAAAATGCCATGCAAAGTCGGTAAATGAGCGCTGCTAAAACTTCAGAGTCCGAAATTATCGAGGTTTTAAGAGATTTTTATGTACTTGCCCGAATTAGAAGACGGGACATTATTATTGAATTAAAAAATAATAGTATATAGTTGAAATCTATACACATGTATCGTTTATTTGACTGACATATACACACCTTTCATAACGCCTTACGAAGATCGTTTTTTAAAGTCAGCAATGATTTTTTTTCACATATTATGCTCTGCATATTTGCACACGCACAATTAAACCGAATACTATTACTATGGTAAAAATATAAAAATATAGTCTTCTCTCTTTGTTGTGAAACTTTATAAAATTTTGCAAGTGTAGAAATCACCAGAAAAGAAGTTTAAAAACGCTGTGCTGTAACGTAAATAGTTAAATAATAAGTACGGCACAGCCTGATAAGTCCAAAGTAAGAATTCGAAAAAAATATATTTCTGAAATCAACGTATTGTGCACGGATGGATTATCTAAGAAAGCCATATATGGGTTTCATACGACCGAGTTTATTTTCCTCTTCTAATCCTTTCATAAGAGCTTCGTTTAGCTTGAGTCCGATATCCTTGCCGACCTGTAAAATTGAAAATCCAAATTCAAAGGCAAATCTCATTTAAGTCATTTTAAATCATAGCATACGGTAATCAACATGTATGGAGTCTCTGTTATCACCTGCATCATTTTAATCAAGGTGCTAGGCAACAAGCTGCCATATCCCAGTTTAACTACAGATGTCACTTTGCCGTTCGGCATAACGGACATAAGGATACTAGCAATACTGCAGGATTCTTCTTCCGACGTTGGATCTATCACGAAGTTGTCTCCAATCTGTTAAAAGAAGTTTTCAGTTTAACAATTGTTTAAATAAACATTTCTATTAATTAAATGTTGAATCTTAATTGCCGAAAATGTACAAAGTAATTAATAAAAGACTACCAAGTAAAAAAGAATTATATCACATGTATCCTCTTTTACAAAAATATCTCAAAGCTATACCTATTTCTTTAGGCAAACATACATTAAAAAGGAACATAATTTAATATATCAACTTATTTAGCAAAATAAAGATATTTTTAAAAATTAAAATTATTGCATACCTTGCATATTGTTACTAGCAATGGATAATTTGTGACATCCAATTTAATACAATTGTAAAGATCGTCCGACACTTGAATATCCGGTTCGCTACCATCGAGAGTTGCTGCAATCACCTTTGGAATTTCAGTATTATACAAAGCTGCCTTCACTGCAGCACCCACAGCATCGAACAGATTTCCACCACATTGGAGAATCTGAAAATATAAAGAATAATGCAGCAGACTTTTTCAAAAAGGAACTCTTATCATTCGATAATGCTTACCAAAATATCCACATACATTTTCCAACATTTTTTATGCGGCAGGATACACAGCTGTCTCAAATCGAAGACATCCGATGTCTGATAGGCCATGGAAAGAACATTGCTTATCTCGGTCGCCAAGTCGTCTCCACCTTTGCCTTCAAATGCAGGTGTAGCATTAGCAGAGCTAGAAAGAGTAACCTAAGATTATAGAGATACTCAATATTTTAAATCAAGAACTCAAGTATAAGATAATGCTGAAATACCAATCTACAAAAAAATCTAGTTTGCCCTCATTTGGTCTCTCGGCGTATGGTGTGTCAATCTCTACTTTCACGCTGACTAACACATCCGTGATATTGCCTATGCGTAATCTTGCAGATCCATGTGTATGCTGCATCAATCTAGTTTCGATTTCAATGGAACGGTACTGGCATCTGGATCTACCATCATTTCTCAAATCAAGCTGAAATCAATATGTTAATTATTAGAATATACAGACTCATTTATTTGTATATGTATAAAGAAATCAGAATTGGATAAGTTAATCTATCTTTTTAACTAACAATAATTTAAGTTAAAGTTAATAATCTATAAAATTAATTAAGTTACATTAAAAATTGCATAAATATAAGTGATTTAATTAAAAATTAATTAATTTGTCAAAGTTAAATTAACTTCAACTTTTATTAATTATTTAACTGCATTACTTGTAACTGATTAGATAATTACAAATTAATAAAAAATTTATCTTTGGAGTCGAAATTTTTCTTTGTAATTAAATTGTGAAAAATAATAATGAATGAACGCAAAATTGTTAAAAGTAAAATATAATTAGAGATAATTAATATTTGAAAAATAAATATTACATGTGTATACACATTATTTACTCACGTCAACTCCGTGGAGAATAAACGTCTTTTCGCCTAAACTCAAGGGGGTTTCAGCCATTTCCGCAGAAATTGTCTTGTAACTTCTCAATTCTTCCTAACTCAAGAATAGGATCATGGAATACCATATAAAATGGGTATAAAATGTTGCGTTTATACACACGTTACTGACACAGGACGATATAACCTCATTTGGAGAGCCGGTAAACCCGGTGCAAATCTCGATTTTCTTATAATAATCCTTTAACAAATCTAAGTTTCTCGGAAGCCACGTGTTTCAATTTACTTTCCTTTCAATTTAAAATCGTACTCTTCAATAATTGTGTTCTCCCGCGTGTCTGAAATGTGGCGAGCGGCGACACGTGCAATACAATGGCCAATCGCCTTTCCAAAACGACATCTATTAAACTCTGGTTAATTAATAAAAATAGCATCTAAATTTTTAAATCCACATCTGTAGTATCTAATCTTTTAAAAATTAATAAAATGTCATGTCAACTAGTCACATAGTTCTCTTTAATGTGTTTTTGTTATTTTTTTCAATTCTAAAAATTAAAAAAAGATACAGGAGAAATTAAACTTAGATCAGATTAAAGTTCATTTACATTAATAAATATAGTATAAGAAAGCTAAAGTGCAAATAATTGATTCGAATTTCAAAAATTTTCGTATTTAAATTATTTCCTGATGTTTACGTGCAAAACGTGAAAATTCATGTTTTAAAAGACTGACTATGTTGGAATAATTATTAAGAAAAATTGATGTCTCAAATCAACCAAAATGAAAAAAATAAACATTTATATAAACAAAATTTGAAAAAAATAATCGCTATATGTGATTGTTCGCTTCTATTACAATAATTTTGTGCTATATATTTGTTTATTTGTTAAAACTATTTGTTTCTTGGTAACGAAAATTTACTCATTCATGGCAAGCACACGAATGTAGTCTTGTGTATTTGGACGAAACAATATATATAACATGTCAAATATATCCTACAAGAAATTATTTTGCATTTATCACTAACAATGTTTATTAACAACATCGTGTTTTTTATTTTAATGACATTTAACGATGTTAATTAAATAATAACTATACAAGAAAAATGGAGCATTTATATAGGAGATTTATCGAAACCGTTCACATAGAATTCATTGCCCTTCGTTTTGTACAGAGCTTTCAGGTCCTTATTGTCAGGATACATTTTCGATCTGCTCACCGAGATTTGGAATCCGCCATTTTTCATCCAATTCTGAGAAAATAAAAAATATGTAAAAATGTGTATGGAATATTTTAATAAAGCAATGCATTCGGTATGTTGATAAATTTTTGTTGCCATACCTTTTTATTGTATTTCACATGATAATAGACACAATAGATTCCAATGAAACTCATCATAAGTCTGGTTATCGAACGCCGTGTTACCGTTGCCTTCAACTCACCCTATAAAAGAATAGGAATTATTAATACTTCTTTTCTAAATATCATAAGTCCATACTATTAGCTAAATATTCTTTATTACTATGTATGGCGCCAACATGCTCTCAAATTTTAGTCCAGGTGCCATGTAGAATCTTCTGATTGGATTGTACATCTCTTCATAGTAACCTGGTGGTGTTATTGGTTCCTCAGGATCAAGCTTCTGTGCATCCAGCCACTTTTTCCTCCATGCTCGCTCCTCATCCGTCATTCCGAGCATCCGTTCCCTTTCACGTTCCATACGACGCACTATGGTCATGGGCCTGTCTCCATTCATGGCCGACGTATCCGGAACATCTGGTACTCTATGAAACAAATTACAACAAATTGCAGTAAATTGCGATAACTATACACTATTGTTACCTGTAAATAACTAAGCATTGCTCTATTTCTTCTTTATGACATGCATGAATTCTATTACTGAACAATTTTTATGAAATGTTGGTGATGGTTTCAAATAATAAGAGAATTTATACAAAATAAGTGAAATAAGATCCAGCTATTTTTTATCAAGAGAATCTGAAACTTTAATGTCATATCAAAATTATATGTCAAAAGTGGTACATGTCAACATCCAAATATTTGTTTACGCTTGTTATTGGTCTGTCATAAAATTTATATATTTCAAAGAGCAGAGAATTTTTGATAAATAAAAAATATCCTACCGCGACATGATTCTCTGGACAAACGCCTAAGTCCCAGGATATTAAAAGCACTGATTCTTCAGATCAAAAGTAAGGTTAGCTCCACTTGCGCTGTTACATCACATATACAAACGGTTGCAGAAAGTTTTACTTCTCGCGCCATCTTTTATAAGAAACTTGGTTTTTTTTCGAGAAGCTACAGAGAAATTCAATAATGATATGAAAAATGTATATAAATAAAATAAAGTTTGATCAAACATTATTTTAATCAATGTTCAACTAATCAACTTAATCGACTAATTAATTGATAATTAATGTAAATAAAATTTGTTTTTAAAATATAATTATTAAAATTTATTTTATCTGTGTTGAGTCCAAATATTACTTTGTAAGTTAATATTAAAAATAAATAAAATGTTAATAATTACTAAAAATTAATATAATTTTATTCATGTTAATAAAACGTTGGAGAAATTAAATTTGATCAACATCACTTCTAAAAGCACAATTTCTAACTTGTTAACGCCAGCTTCAAATATTCTACATTTTTATAAATATTTATTAATTTATTTGTATATATCTAAAAATACTCTTGTATTTTTGCATTTAAAAAAATGTATCAAATTTTTAAAAATAAAAAGATATAAAATATATAATGATCATATAAAAAATGATATATATAAATATAGACAACTTAATAATAATGATAAAAGTATATTGAAGAATGACGATGGTATAAATTGATACTTTTGGTCGTAGATATATCATTTATTTATTTATTTAATCGACTCTCTCGCAGTATAGTTCTTCATTCATATACTTTATCTTTCGTAAATCAATTACAAGTGTCATCATCTATTATCTAAGGGTATAGGTAGGTAAGTTACAGGCTTTTTCACAGTATTGACTCTATATACTATCCAGATGTGACTAAAATCTGTATCTACAAATATACTATCTTGTATCTCGTATGTGTGTACAGGGTGTCTCGCAATCGTACTTCACTTCCTCCCAACGATAGTCCATGAGAGTTGCGTCTCGTGACGTAGTGTTTAAAGTGACAACCGAAAAATAAATTAAGCGCACATACAACGAGCCGTGAACGAGTCCGCACGGAATTAATTTTTATTCACATGCAAACACGAAACACATACAAAAACAATCACAGACTCGATAGCATTATAATTCCATTTGTAAGTCTTCCTTAAATCATACAGTTTTACTGGCAAAGTTGCTTCGTTCCTCTCTCAAACGCGCTTTTTCAATTTCGTTACAATATCTATTGTCAAGAGAAAGCAGACACCTTGTAAACATATAGTATACATATATTTATATATTTATATATATATATATATATAATGTGGACCAGAAAAAGGCGGGATCTATGAAAGGCATCGACGAATTTGGGATGACATTTTCCGAAATTACTTCAACCGAGTATAAGTACGTAGGTAAGCTAAAATCAAAACTAAGTAGATGAGAGTTAACTGTTAAGGATACAAAGTCTTACTCGCTGAATATATGCAAATCTAAGATACTTAATATGAGATGTTACGGAAAGAATTACCTCAAATTCGAGGACACATTTCTCTTGCCGACTCCTATTCTCTCGCCTCGGGTCCGCTCTGTATGTATATTTAATAACATCTTTATTTTCTCTCTATATATATATCTCATTTTTCCTTTCTCTTTCCCATATGGGAGTCAATAAATATATTTCTTTATTCGAGTCCCAAGGGCAGAAGAAATCGTCGCAGGTTCTGGAGTGAGAAGTAAGTCGTACGTGTACGTCTCCCGTCACAGGAGCTTTGGTAAAAGTTTCTTTCTTTTTTTTTTCCTCTCTTTTAAATCGGTTAATATCGATATACGTTAAAAGTAGATTTATACTTGATTTGACACATATGATTGAGGTTTCGAGCAAGTTTGTCCGCTGCTTAGCTCGCATCTCACAGCCTAGAGGTGATTTAAATCCGGAACGCGGTTCCATTTTAAACGGAACGCGCCGCAAAACGCCGGAAAACGCCGCACTATACCCCGACAAATGCCAAGCCCGCAGGTATTACGATTATTAACTCGTTTAACAGCCGAGTACACCTCCATCGCCCGAAATTTACGTCCGAGATTAGCGCGGAAATGTTGCGAAAAGATGCAGCGAAAATGGGTTTTTTTTGCTTTTTTTGTTTTTTTTTTTGTTTTTTTAAAGAACAAATTTTCTCAGGGAACTGACAAGAGCTCCCCGGAAATTTTCGGACAGTTTTCTTCGAAGATTAGAATATTTCTCGGAGAATATTCTCGGAATATTTTAAGGATATTCGGTGAAGACGAGAATATTTCCCAATTTTGATGAACGAAACTTTGTGTATTCTCTGGAAGAAAGAATCTCGCACTTCTTCTTATACTGTCGCTTACAATAAATTGCGGAAACCAAATAACATCTCCAACAACTTTCATAGATATTCTCCGATCTCGATCAACGGGAATAAGACAAAACAGTTGTAATCGCGGCTGGACTCTTGGCTTTTACTCGCCACCTGAAATAGCTATCTTATCTTCTATTTTGCAGCTTGAAAACTCCTTTATAGCCAAAGTATTGTGCGCATTTTTTATCTATTCACAATGAGCCGCATACATTTTCACCGTGTTCCCGTCACAGCTCGCTTGTTCAGTCTTTTGCGATCTATCTTCTATAAAATGCAATTAGAAGGAGTCACTCTCGTGGTAACGGAGACGGAATATTCGGAACGCGTTTGAAGTGTTTATTTTGTTTCCGCAAAGCGAACATAAACCGCGGACGCCGGACGCATCCTCCGCCGTTGTCGATAACACGCACTATCAGCGCGAATAGAATGAGAACGGTGCTAAAACGTGCTTATCTCCGTTGAATTTGCTTCGCTATTAAACTAAGGAGAGGGCCGAGGGTCGCGGAGCAGCAACCGACTCCGAGTTCTATAATTCTTATCTCGCACCATTTTCATTCTTCTCGGCCAAATATATGTATATGTACTCTATATAATATATATCACACGTACGCAGACGTTTGTGTGCATGTGGTCATTGTGCATTTAAAGTAAATACGACGATAGTAAAATATTAAAGCGGCAGCAGAACACTGCAATACTGTTCGATCTGTGTAAAAGATCCTATTCATTTCCTCTTTCTCGTTTTTTCTCCCCTTTACCCTTTCCTTCTTCTTTAAATCTTCTTTAAATCCTTTAATCTGATAAACATTCGATCGTTTTATTCTTTTTTTCCTCATTCTTTTAGCTATGTGTTTATGTACAACATGTGTATAATGATTTATCCGGCAACAATCGACTTATTATTCGCGATAAACTTTCTCATTTGTCAACATGTCTCATATAAACTATGCAGTGCCAATACCTATCGAGTAAGATAAGTACACATAAAATATATGCAATCGATAAGTAACGTAATAAAATTA